GTGGGAATCAGATGCTGAATTTTTGGTTTCTGATACAATAATGTCAGCAGCATGGGTTCAGTTCCTGCACCAGCTGAGGCTACTGTGAAGTTCCTGCCTTCTTAACCTGGCTTTTGGACAGAGGCATGGTGACCCTTACAGCATCTCTCTCTCTTTCTCTAATGGGAGAGCAGCCCTATGATCCTCTGGGACTATCACAACATTTGCTTTACTGGCTTCAGACCCTGATTCCCAAAATTCATTTTGTAGCACATGAAGTTCTGATTGAGTAATCTGAATTAATAAGATTCACCCTTATGTTATGGAAAAAGAAGAAATCCTTCAACAGTGTATTTTGTATCATAAATTTCAGAATGCATGCGAATACAGACTGTCAAACAATTTTAAAAATGACCAGTTTAGAAAAACATAATTCCACTTCTGTATTTATTAGGTTCTTTGGGAATCATTTAGAATTTGGAAACATTTTTCAATTTTGACTGCAAATCGAATTACCTATGCTAATTAATTTAGGCAGAGCATTGAATGAAACATTTTCCCGGGGTAAAAGCATTCTCTGTAAGCTTTAATTTGAGGATTCCAGAATCCTGAAATCTAAGAAATGCATCCAGAATATCACGGCACCATCTCTAACTTCAGTCCTTTCACATCCAACTGCCCTTTCTGCAATGCAGATTAACCATCGCCACTCGATATTGAGATTTACATTCAGCCAGCTAAAGGTGTTAACATTTTAGTACCCCTTTCAATTTCAATTAATAAATTAATTATCAAGGTGGTGCATAACTGACACTGCTTGGAACATCATTTTGTTCAAAAAAAAGACACACGTATTGTTTAATCTGCTTAGTTGCACAACTGAGAGGAGTTTCAGCATTATTATTCAAAACAAATCAATTCAGTTATCAAAAATACATTTTCTTAAGCTAATACAGCTTTTGGATTTGAATGAATAAAGGCTTCCTAAATATTATGTTTAGTATGTTTAGTTTTTGAAAAATCTTATCAGAATTTGTACATTAGAATTGGAAACATTTTATAATAGCCAAAGGCCACTCCCAAAGAAGGCAAGGCAAATTTGACCACAAGAAACTCCCTAACCTGACATAACATTTTGATGTTTTAAAAAGTTCAGACTGCATAATTAATGCTTTCATTTTAAAAGGAGGAGCCATAGAACTTGCAGATATCTATAGAATCTCCTCTATATAAATACAGCTGTACTCATCACTGGAAAGCAAGTACTGTATCCCACTGCCATACTCTACACCAATTCAGAGGTAATCTGTTGAGGAATCTTTACGGAAGGAAGGTCCTGAAAGCAACATATACTGGTATGTTCCATTTAAAATTGTGTTAGCATATGAAAGAACAAGGATATCAGAAGAAGCATTCACTGATTCTGCTAGCAATAACATTGTTTTGTAATTTTGTTAGAAGTGATCACATTTGTCATAACCAGGAATTGCAAACTTCCTTTGTAAGCATGGAATCGTGTTATTTAGCAAGATGCAATTTGAAAAACTCATGAACAAGTTTTAAAACTAATCTCACTTAACACTTTTCAGCTACAATCATGAATAATATTTTAAATTTAAGAACACCACACTTTGACCGAAAACATTTATGCAAGTTTTACGTTCAAAAATTTGAAGGGGACCACCTGGAATGTTCTTGTCTTGTCAAAGATGTTAAGGGAAAATATCACTGTAACCTTGATACAGAAAACTTATTATCATAACAATTTTTGCGAATGGAAACGTGGACAAAAACAGTCTCCCCATTGCTGCACCTTTTAACATCTAATTTTTATCTAATTTGTGTCAAAATCAAAGGCTTTGAATCCTGTTTTACATTGGTACTTATACAATTGCTTTTTTTTACATTTTAGTTGCAACATGGTTTCTAAGGGAATTGGGGCACTTATACTATCGCTGTCTTTGAACCTGGTTTACGGAACAGACTTTATCAGATATGTCTATCCAGCCTATAATATAAAAAGTTACGGAGGTAAGTTCATATTTTGTTCTGAAATATTTAAACAAGATGGCTGCAGCTTATTCAACATGAGATAACACCAACAGATGATGGTGACGATTCACTTCAGTCCAACGTGATCATGCGCCAAAATGAAGCGTGATTAAACTTTGTGCTAAAGTTTTGAAAACTGTTGAAAATTTTTCAAAGAGATGACAAAATTCGTCCAGCTTGAAAGTGGAAAACAGAACTAAAACTTCATTCTGAACTAGTTCATATGAAAGCATATGCACCATATGCACCATTGGTTATCAAGGTCTCCAACATTCATTATTGTAGAAGTATTTTGAGAGATCTCTGGACAGGTTCCTTGTGTGGGAAATCATCAAACACCATCTAAGCCTAAACACCTCAAAGCACATTGTCTCATTGTATGAGCATTTGCACTAAAATGATAATTCTACACCAGACATTTATTTATGACATGCACAATGCCTCTAATTGATAAAAGGCAGTCCAACAATACTGTCAATCTTGCTGAAGGGTATCATTCACCTCAAAGTCAAAGGGGTATCAGTTCAAATGTCACCTCAGCAATTGCATATTTGAGTAAACAGTGTAGCACTGTGTAAATGTTACATTGCCAACAGTTTTGCTTTTTTGGATAACCTGTTAAAACTAGGCTCCAGCTGTCAATGGAGATGGATATGAAATAAGAGTCGGGGTAGTCGATACTACCAAAACAGATAAATTGTTCATCCCCACTTGGCAAATTGGTTCCTACAGTTACCTACAAAACAACACTTTAGAAGCAAAATCTGTGTGATATGCTTTAGGACATCTTGAAGATATGAAAGATGTTATTTTAACTTTAATCAACTGGGTTTGCATAATTCCCAATCAAAAAAACAAACTGCCATCAGATTACTTTGTTCAGATGTTGCATGTTAGCACGCAGGCTCTAAAATGCACTAGAATTTCTAGTTTGCTTAGATGATATGCACATAAAATGGACTAAATACAAAAATATCCAAGAATTCTTGATCTAGAATTTGGGAGCTATTTGCTGTTGGAGTTTTTCATTATTACGCCCAGTGAATCTGACAGCAATTTCAACATTGAGTGCAAATTCAGATTAACAATAACGCTGGACCATATGCTGTGCCATTAACTTCCATTCACCCCAGTTCGAGCAATCAGCAAAATCACTTTATCAGGCAGAAATTCCCCTCACCCACCCCCAAAACTGTTAGTTCTATATAAAGTAAAATCTTCTTCGAAGAGATGTAACTGAGTTTTTAAAAAGATCAGTTCAGTAATAGTTACTACTAATGAGCTGATGTGGCCCTGAAAATTACAGATCAAAATCACATATCGTATGTTACACGTTGAATGATGTTACATATCTCCATCATAACTAACAACTAGTTTAACTTTTTTTAAAATTCAAAAAAAGGCATAACGCCTGGACAAACTGATTTCCTTGCAGACAGCAGATTCCTGCCTGTGAATAAGTGTAGCTTCCAGCAGGCATAAGTAAGTAACAATAGTTCCTTGGCAGATTGTCTTTGGAAAATCATGACCAGATTGTCATTTGCAAGGAAATCCGAGCACTCTTTTCATGCAATATAAATTGTTGCCCCCTTTGAAATTTGGCATTCCTATGTCTGAGTTGCAAACAATGTCCATTTGGTTTGTGAGGTATTGCTGAATAATTCTGTATGTTTCAGGCACGTAACAACTTGGTTATTGCAAAATGGAATACAACATGCGTTAAAAATCCATCACTTCTGCATAATTCTATGATCTTCAGAATGAAAAGTATTAATGCTTGAAATGGAACTTTCCCATTTCAGGCATCCTTCTCTGCCAACACACAAATAGAAACACTACATTGAGATGCGGAGCAAGGTTCCTTCTACGTTGCCCAACAATTCAACTCAGAACAACACTGCTCACTAAATCTATTTTGCCCTGATTATACAAATCACTGGAACAAGATTGACAACTTAATGCCTCAAAATTGCCTGGACTCATTTCACATTGGCTCCAAAAGCCAAACAAAAGAAAATCCAATATTTTAGAATAGGCTGGATCTGAATCCAGGTCCAACAGGTGAAGGACTAGTGTGCTATATAAAGAAAGCATTGCATGACTGCAAAATAGCGTTCTGAACCAGAAATACAAGTTAAAATCTGATGTTCAACACAAAACGAGATATGTCGTACAGAATCTAATTATCAATATTTCTTTTGAACATTGCAACAAAATGATGTTGTAATGTTGTCTTACAGTGGGTGTTTGGTAACTTTCACATGTCCAATTGAGCAGTGGTTGGAACGCACAGCTTGCCACAATTGGATAAACTGCTACAGAAATTTGAAAATATTCTGGCAGGAAACCTTTTCTAGAAAGGAAAAATGTTTCTTTAAGAAAACAATTCTCAAGGTAATTGCAGCAAAAGTAATATCACTGAGACTCACACTCTAATTAAGAAGAGAACAGTTAAGCAGCAGCAAAGAATAAATCGTACAAGTCAGAAAAAAGAACAGGAACCTACAAAATCTACAGTAATGTTTGTGTCTGTTACTGATTAATGCATAGTTTTTCTATTTCTCAATCAATTCATTATTCAACTTACAACTAGTTCACTGGTGCAAATGCTACAAGTTGAAGGATTATAATCAACAACTTCTAGCCAAGTAAAATGGCATTACTTTCAACTGTAAATTGAAGCTTCAGTCTGATATTTTCCATATTTAAAGTTAAGATGCAACTTCTAACTTACATGAAAGGTGAAAATCCAAAATCAATTTAAATGAGTTCAATTTAATTAAATTTGTCAAAGTACAAATTTTCAACAATTTAGATTCAGCCTTATGGACCTTACTTTTAAAACAAAGTGTTCTACTGGTCAAATTAAGACCTTTTCAATTTTTTTTTAAATGAGTGGAATAAAAATGTAGCACTCCAACTCAAAGATTGATGCCCTTTCATTTGAAAGGAGTTGCAAAGCATTTGATTTCTGGGAATTTCTGAATTTTCCAACGACAATTTTGCTGGTGCAATATGAAAGTATTACCCTTGCAGTGTGACAGCAGGAAAGGATAATTAATCACGGGAAGGGAAATTTATTATCCAGCTGTTACCTCAAACGTAACGATGACAAATTAGCCAGTTCTATAAAGAGCAAAAATGTATTTCTAAGGCAAACAAATGAGTATATACTCAATTCTGCAGTATTGTTGTTTTGAGTTTTACGAGTACATGTGCCTTCACTGATGATCTAGAGATTCACTGCAGTCTCTTACAATGAAGATTTTAAGATTTACCATAATCACTAACCATTTTCAGCCAAATTCAAATCCAAACTAAAATAATCTTGACAAGTAAAGATTACACCTCACTTCTGTGACACAGAATACTGGATGTAGATTTTTCTTTATCTCAACATCAGTGCGAAAACACCCAGCATAAATCAATTAAAATATTTTGTTTGTTAGATTAGTCCAGTCTTTGCAGGAAAAATAAGTCCGACTTCATATCATTCACCATTATCACCCATGCTCACCCAAATATGCAACTGCCCTTTCCCAACAGTCTCGATTTTAAAATTCTTATTCTTGCTTTGAAATCTCTCCATTATTTCAGTTTTATAGATCTTTGTAAACATCTCCAGCTACACATTTCTCCACTTTTCTTCTATTCATCTAATCCTTGCATATTGATCAGCCTAAATTTTAATCACTCAATCACGTGAGGGTGCCCTCAATTTCCTGGCCACTAAACTTAGGAAAGTGCTCCCTATAATGCTTTATTTCCTAATTCACCTTTCTCCTTTAAAATGCTCCTTTAAACACACGTCTTTAACCAAGCTTCTGGTTAAGCTTGGTAATCTGACGTAATACCTCTTTATGAGGCTTGGGGCCCTAAATGCCCATGTGAAGCAAGCTGGGACACTTAAGTTGAATAAATTAACCCTGCTCAGGTGTTGTCAGCAATTTTGAGAGACTAGGATACGCCCGAGTTGCCAGTGGCTTCACTGTGAACCTTCCCATGAATGTCAAGAAACTGATGGTTTTGTGCCCTGAATACAAATTAACAGTGACACAGTTATTTCAGGCTGCTTTTACACAGCACAAATCCCTGACATGGTTTTGAATCTTGGAGGCCTAGGTAAGGAATAACTGAAACCATGGAGGCTCACTATGCTCATCAGATCACAAATGGCTCATGCAAACTCAAGAACAAAACCTCACCTTCCCTTCTGTCTCTTTGTACTAATCCATTAATTTTCCTTCCCTTTCTTAAATTGATTTTTCTATATCTCATTTAATTCAAATTCACTCTCTCTTCCTCTGTCATTCAGTCCATTTCTTTCCTTTCTTTCAATTTCATTGGCAAGGAGTTAGAATGTTTGTCATGATGTTTGAGCTTCCAGATGCACCACTGACCTCAGACTATTGTTACCAGTTCACATCTTCAAAATTTTATGGTGCAATGTTTAAAACATAAAAGTAATCTGAGGAACGATGAGGGGGGCAATGGAATGATGTATTTTTTTTTCCCCAAATGCACTAATCAAAACAACACCAATGCATAAAAAAAAATCAGATGAACCAGAATTTGCAACATGATTTGGTAAAATTTGCTTATGAATGGACAACCCATCATATGTAACTTTCTGCTTTGTTATACAGAAACTAATTTCAATTATAATTAAATTTAAAAGATAATAATTTTAATTTCAAGTTTTTGTTACTAGTAGGAAACCACAGCAAACAGTTACAGAGGTACAAGATCATGAGAATTACACGTGCAGACATGTAGATGATATTGGCACTTCAATGTCATTAGTTTTTACATGATTCTGTTGATTATCAGTTGCAGCCCCAGAGATGCTAGCATTAACGCCACTTCTCTAAGAATTCTATTAATCTTCCTAAATTACGATGGACAATCAAAGGAAGCCCACCTCCTGCAGAATTTCAACCCTATCTATCTTTAAGAATTTGTCTAAGGATCTTTGAAGTTTACATCAGTCTTATGATATCAAAATGTCTTTTCTTACTCTTGCAAGTTAAGTTGTTCAAAGGATTGAGCGCGGTTTTCACTTACTTGATTCGTTTCAGTAATCCTGCACATCAAATTGAATCACTTATTTTCATCCTGACTTCTTGTGAGCAAAACATGTGGGAGAAGGGGCTAATGAAAGGTGACACTTTCAGTCCAATCTGGTATGAGTTGACTTTCAACAGGTTATTTTTTACCTGATGCAGCGATGCTTATATTATCTAATGAAATATAGGAACCAGTGTTGATATTGTGATACTGAAGTATCCAACAGACATTTATTTCAGATAATTGCGTACAAACATTATATCCACAGGAAGAATGTCTGAGCTACAATTAAACTAATAGTTACAATATAGCAGCATGGTTTCAATAGCACTATGCATCAAGTGATCCAAGATAAGATCGACTATGAGATATTCAAAGCCTCAGATTACATGCTAAAATAGTGATGTCATCTCTTCAAAATTCCCCCCTCAATCATAACACAACATAACCAATGCAACTTATGCTGAAATAATCTGATAACTGTGACAAGCTGACCTTTCACATTTCGACGATCAACCAAAGAGAGGAAATGTTGGAAAACTGGTAAAGGAAGCATTTCCTTTGTACATCTGGATGTCACCAACTTCAGTCTCAAGCTGCACCTGAAGGCCCATCTGACATTCCTCAGAGTTCAGCCAGCTCTATCAAGAGTGGTACCTCTGAGTCAATTGCGGGGATAAACACTGAAGTATCCCACCCAAAGTATATTCTATCCCCTGTTGCCCTTCATACTCCTTCCAGTGGTGTTTATTATGGAGGAATAAAATTGTTACCTGTTTGTTTAGTGTGTTACTTGGAACAGGAGATGCAAATTACAGTTTAAATTTACAGCAACTGAAATGCTCTGAAATTTCTACTGTTTGTTGGACAATCTACAAGCCACATTCATATTGCTAAATGCTTGTTCCTGGATTTTGAAGTTAAGTTTCTGTAAAACTCACTTAAGAACTATTTCCAATCTGTATTACGCTATAACTCAGTTTTTGCCACACTTTAACTGAATCAAATAATTCTACTAGCATAATCTGTTTTACCACACTCTCAATGTTAAACTGAGAAACTCAAAGAACAATGGCATTCCTTCCAATGCTTTTGATGATCATTACTGTACTTCTACAAGGAAAAAAATGCAGATTTAGACATTAACTCATTTTGTTTTTCCTAAACTAGGTAATGAAGTAAACTTCCCTCATTCATTGAGCAATGAAGACAGTGAACACAACAGCAACTCAAAATCTGCAAGTAAGCTATACTCAGTATTTTGACATAGGGCAGTATTGCTTTTTAAAACAGACACAAGCTGAAGTGAACAATGCAAACTTACACTAAATGTCACGGGCATCTTGTTGTTATTGACTGCTCATGTTTTAGACAGTGAAGAACTGAAGAACTATGCACGTGATTCTAATATTTCCTCATATCTGTAAGATCTACTTCCATTCCTAATTCATATTTTCATATCTGAAATGAAAATTCAAATATCAAGGCCATTATAAAACATAAAGCAAATGCCTGTTGTTCACACAAAGCACAAAATCATTTTCATGTTTGATCAATCTTAAAAGAAAATAGAGACCAATTAGGAACCAATGAAGGGCCCAATTGTCAGTATCTAGCTCTGTTCTTAGATGTGTCTATTTGTCAACATATGCCTTTAATAAAAATGCTCTTTATGCCATCATTGCTAACATTAGTGGTCTCAAAATAAAGTTACATGCCCATGACCTTTTGTAGAACAGAGAAGCAGATTTCTAGTTATTTTTTCCAATCCTCCTTAATTATACAAATTATACTACGGGACATGAGTAGTTACTATAATACATTTGCTCTTTTGGAAGAGTTCAATCCTTTGAGGTGTCAATAATAGTTCTATTGGTACACTTGATGATCTCAAAATCCATAATGTATCGGCATGTGAATATCCATTTCAGTCATTTTAAGTCAAGATTTTCAGATCTTTGCAAAATAGGAGTCTCGTACAAGTACGGACATGATAGAATAGGCTTGTGCACACCCCGCACCCACCCAGGTCTTAATCAATCATGTTCCAGTAATCATAACTCTTCGTTGAGTGCATACACTTTCACAGTTTAATTTGTGTTCACCTTTTAATTTCCCAACAGTCTGGCCACTGAATCTATTTTATGTCTGCCACACTAATTAGTCTAGCCTAATTGAGGGAAAACTCCCAGAATCTATAATTCAATGTAAATTAGTAGACACTGAGAAGCACAACTTTGTTTAATCTTCGTTTACTTCTAAAAATGTAGAGGTAGAGGCGCTGCTTCGGTTAAGGGAAAATTAAAGAAACATTTCAAGCAGCCAAAGACTTAGGGGCAGTGGGGTTAGTTTTGGATTACTGTAGCATAGAGCATTACAGACATCAGTCAACGGTTTCAAAATTTTATCGTTTTATGAATCCATCGTCAGGGGTCCGGAAAAAAAATGAAGTAAAATCACCTTACGTTGAAAGTGATGCTCTGATCTATATTGTCAGGACTTTTATGTACTGCAAATGGCTTATTGCTCATTAAAGCCATGGACAAGACAGAATTTGAAGATTTATATCTGAAAGACTGAATCCATCCTGTTTGATGCTTGCTCAAAACTTAATGCTTTCACCTTTGCCTTTCCTACTCCTAACTGAAACTGACAATATGTAGAGTCCCTTGATCCTCAGACCTTCTCCATATTATGGAGAGGCAATGTCCTAGTAATTTTATTGCTAGACTATTAATCCAGAAACTCACCTAATATTTTGGGGAAACGAGTTCAAAACCTGCCATGGCAGATGTTGACATTTGAATTCAATAAAGGGTCTAATGATGATTAAACCATTGTCGATTGTTGGACAAAACCCATCTGGCTCACTACTGTCCTTTAGGGAAAGAAACTCCTATCCTTACCTCGTCTGACCTACGTGTGACTCCAGACTTCAGCAATGTGGTTGATTCTTAATTGCTGCCTGGGCAATTCAGGATGGGCAACAAATACTAGCTTAGCCAAAGGCACCCACATCCCGGGAGTAATTAAAAATTCACTAAAATAATCTGTGACCTTATCACTACCATGACTGAAAAACATTTATGCCTTTGACCTCTTAGATCCAACTTTCCAAGGATATTAGAGGATTAGCAAACTAATAGTAGACAGAGTTTGGATGAGGGGATATTTACAGGATGGCAACCTGTAACCAGAAGAATGCCACAAGGATTAGTGCTGAATAACATTATGGAGAGGAAGAACAGAGGAGCTGAATATTATTTAAATGGATAAAGACTGCAGAAAAATACAGCAAAGGGGAATTTGGGAGTCCTTGTACGTAATTCATGAAAAGCTAACATACAAGTTCAGCAGCTAATAGGGAATGCAAATTAAATCTTGGCCTTTATTTCAAAGGCAATGAATTACACAAATAGACAAGTCATGCTAAAACAAGTCACAGGCTGGATCACACCTAGAATACAATCAACAGTTTGGCTCTCCTTATCCAAAGAAAGATACAATAGCATTAGAGGCAGTCCCGACAAGGTTCATTAGGTTAATCATGGGTATGCAGGGATTGTCTTATGAAGGGCCTGTATTTATTGTAGTTTAGATGAATGAGAGGCAACAAGATTCTCATGGATAACAGTGTGGAGCTGGAGGAGCACAGCAGGGTAGGCAGCATCAGAGGAGCAGGATGGTTGAAGTTTCAGGTCAGGACCCAAACGTCAACTATCCTGTTCCTCTGATGCTGCCTGGCCTGTTGTGCTCCTCCAGCTCCACACTGTGTTATCTCGGACTCCAGCATCGGCAGTTCCTACTATCTTCAAGATTCTTATGGGACTTGACTGGGTCGGTACTCCCCTGTGGAAGAGTCTAGGGCCAGAGTTCAGAGTTAAGGGTCACCCATTTAAGTTAGAGAGGAGGAGGCATTTTTTCTCTCAGATGGCAGCAAATTTATGGAATTCTTTACTGCAGAGTGCTGTAGAGACTGAGTCATTAGGGATCTTCAAAGCTGGGATAGACAGACTTCTACTCAATAAGGGAATTGATGGTTACAGGGAAAATACAGAAGAGTGAAGTTGAGCATTCAGATCAGCCATGATCTCACTAAATAACAAAGTAGGGTCAATGGAATGATAGGCCTATTTCTGCTCCTACATCTTATGGTCTTTTTTTCACTTGACCCCTAAGATCCATCCAACTCATAATGCTCAACCACCTACATCCATGTTGCCCAAATTCCTGCTCACTTGATTTTCACCTACTCACTTTTTTGCAGCCTCTCTTCAAGTTTCCAAACATATCCTCCACACTGTTAAACTTCATGGTCCTGCATGTTTGCCCTTTGCCTGATCTACTATAGTTAATACAGCCTCCGGTCAACTTTACCGCATATTCTGAAAATATATCTTTAGATCCTTCCCTCATGTTACATCTATTACCTCCCTAAAAACCTTATTTTTCAACAGTCGACCTTCCAACTGTTCTTCATATTCGCCACAGTCCTACCAGACCATCAGACTGCTCTCTCTCTCTCTCTCTCTCTCTCTCATTAGAGACGATTGGTGGTGGTTTAACTTGAAGGTCACCACACCTCAGCCAAGGGGAGAGGTTGAGACAGGGATCCTCACATTTTGTTAACTTGGGTGATGCATACTGTAAAACACCTTGGTATACTTGTTATGTTAAAGATTTGTCATTGGTATTAGCTGCTGCTGTTGTTGTTGCCATTTGCTGGCAAGAGTCATACATGGAGTAAAATGATTTCAGCAAGAAATTGGTGGGTGGCAGAGCTCCAGCAACTAATGTCAAAAAATGCTTTTGTAGGTGGAAGAAAATTGGCAAAGAAAAGATTAATCATTAAAACAGTGTCACGTACCTTTAGAAATGATGAATGGATTGATTTGTCAAAATAAGATAAAAACACCATTTAAGAACAACAACTGGATCCAGTTTCAACAAACTAAATTAACAATGCAGGTTTCTTTTTACATAACTGCGCTGCTGTAAATGTCTGTATTATGGGGAAATATTAAGTACTAAAATATTTTTTATTTTTGTAACAAGTCAGGTCAACAGGTTTAATTTTGTAAACAGTGGTCAACAAGATCTTGATTTATACAACATCTATGTTATATACACTGGTGGTTAATGTTTGATAGAGCAAGTCTCCATTGACCACCATAAGAACACACTTTCCCCTACCTAAACTGTCAGAAAAGATGTGCTTTCTTCAGAAATTTTCAGTTCCTGATGTTTTTTGTACATCTTGAAATATTTAATTTAAAAATATGCAATTTAGAGTATAATTGAATTGTTTGTGCTTTTTAATGTTGGTTTTAAGGTACATTGAGAGAAGAAACTATGTATGTATTTAGGCTATCTAAAAATGGAATGCTTTTCATACTCAAAGTTACTGTACAAACAGAACACAAGTTGGGAGGTGATAGTTATTCCCTATCTCAAAGCCAATATAAATAATACCTGTGGTGTTTTACATCCAACCACTGTCTTTCACTCCTTTTTGAAAACCATTGGGGAGTTTAACACGACACACTACTGCAGCAGAATCTGAGCTCGTTACATTGGGTTTCGCAACAGATACTATAACAAAACTCAACCTACTATGGGATGTTGGGGAAAGTCAAAATAAATCAATCACCACTATTTTGCACCCTATTGTTAAAGAGCAATACAAGAGTATTGTAATAGCATGTCAGCTGTCTTGGTAAGACCTAACTCTACCCTGCAGCACCATGAGTAGCTTGAGCTGTTGCCGACTGCTGGTATAGTAAAATATTCTGATCAGACAAGAATTTTTTGAGACGGAAACCATCTTATTTGGCTGTCCGTAGTCACGCCTATATACCCCTGACTCAGACCCCTTCTATCTAATTTGCTCCTTACTTTGATTTGATTTAACTTTGACGTAACCTCAGTTCCTGTCCAAACCTCATTGAGTCTTAAGCCTTATTTGAGGTTCAATGCAAAAGTCACCTTCTTCCACATACAAAATAGTGCTGACTGCAAAAGAAAAATCACACAAAAGCTTTTATCAACTCCAGGATCGATTTACCATGAGAAATAGGAGCATTAGGCCATTCAGCTCATCAGTTCTGCTCCACCATTCAATGAGATCAAGGCTGATCTGATAATCCTCAATTCCACTTTACTGCCTTTTCCCCATAACCCTTGAATCCTGACTCATTTCCCTTTGACAGCTTCACTTTTTTCAAAAGTTCAACTTATCAAGAACTCTGAAGACTGAGACATTTCGGACACAAAGTACTAGCAGAAATCCCCCGTCAACTTCACTTGCTTCGGTGCCACAGAAAATTGTTTCTCGGATCCTCGTCTAAGCTTACAAACTACTCAATAAGCTCATACAAGCCTCTTCAGCCCAATGTGTTCTGTTCTAATGAGCCAATGTCTCTTACAGCCCCAAGTTAACAAAACTGAAAATACCTCCTATAACTTGTGGTTGCAGCCAATAGGGCCAGAATGGAAGATGATTTTCACTTCCCTAAATATTTGGGATAGGTTCAACGGATTTTAAACAAACAGAAGTTCTGACACATGCTCGGCTTGATTTGAGAAGTTTAGCAGAATTGTTTTTCTCAGATTGAACAATCCATCTTCCTTAGAAATTTTTCCACCATAGGATGTCTACCTCCAGTTCTTATTCTCAGCCCATTATAAAAGGTCTTTGGAACAAGTTTTATTTCATTATATCCATCCCTTCAAACAAACCAATTCTTTGACTATGCCATTAATTTGCTTCCCATAACAAATTCATCCATTCTCTCTATATTTCGGGTGATATTTTTCCTTCAATCCCATCTAAACTTCCGACGTCTTACCGTAAATCTATGCCCCCTCGTTACCTAACACCCCCACCAAAGGGAAAAGATTCGTCCTATCTAGACCCAGCATAGTTTTGTACACTTCAAACAGGTCCTCACTCAGGATTCTCTTCTCTGAGGAAAATACTCTCAGCCTATCTAGTCTCTCTGCATAGTTAAAATGCTCCAACCCAGGCAACATCCTGGTGAATAGTCTCTTCTGCAGTCTTTCTAATGCAATAAATTCCTTCTCAATGTGACAACCAGATCTGCACACAGTACTCCGGTTGTCACCCAGCTAATGTCTTGTACAATTCCATCATAACCACTCAGCTCTTGTACTCAATACCTTAACTATTAAGAGCAAGTATCTCATATGCCTTCTTAACCATATTATCTATCTGTCCCATGCTTTCAAGGATCTACGAACATACTCACCAAGGTCTCTCTGATCCTCTGTACATTCTAGCGTCTTATGGTTCATCATGTACTCCCTTGCCTGTAAGGCCTCCTGAAATGTATTACCTCTCACTTTTCAGGATTAAACTTCATCTGCCACTGTCCTGGCCATCTGACCAACCCCTCTTTATTGTCTAAGGTTTTCCTCCTTGCTATGTATTAGTGTGGGTTCTGAGTTTCTTTTGGGCCTGATTATTTAGGCTGCATTATGATCATTTTGTCAGCACATTCTAGCAAGATTAGGAGGATACTTTGATCCAATATCTGTGTTATACCCAAAGAAGAAGCCGAAGCCAGAAATTTTTTTTAACCTAATTCTTTACCCCGATAAAATTTCCACAACTACTTCAATTTCTGCAATACTCTTAGCTTAATTCAAACTGTGCACAAATCAAGACATTATGCGAATTGAGATCATAACTTCTTGTCCTACTAAGTCTGATGCCTGAAGCAATACTGCAAATTAGGTGGACTTGTATTACTATTTTATAACCGTGCTCAAAACTTCTTTTCTAAAAAAAATGATCTGACGAAGATTAGAATGGACAGAACCACTCCCTCTAAAGTACTTCTTTTAATAATATTGTGAAAAATTGTAGATATTCACATATATGCAATCTTTTTCTTTCCCTAAAATAGGCAATGAATTCAAAGGGAATAGTGGACCAAGCGATGAAAACAATAGTGACTCTAATTCAGCAAGTATGTTCTTTTTAATAATAAGTTTCATTCAATATTTACATTAATTACGGTTATGTGAGCTATACAAAATACTTTATTGCTGCTCCTTAAGTTCAAAAATTCAAGTTACAGTCATTGAAGATGGCTTAAAATCTTTATATCAAAATTTTGCATAAAACACAAAAACGTCAGAGCGACAATAATGTTTATTATTATTTTCCAAAATAGGCTATCAAATAAAAGGGAAATACTCATGGAGGATTGATGACAATGGGCAAAATAGCGACTCAAATTCCGCAAGTATGCAAGATTTAAGCTTAATATGCATGACAGGTTTAGTTATCCAAGAAATAAGCACCCTTACACTCACTGATAAAAGCTCCAATTATCAAAGTTTGATAATGAAATCAGAAGAGCTAACTCGAGAAACCCACAACATATTGTCACTCTTGCCATAAATATGACAGTAGCATAGTAGAAGTAATGAAAAATAAGTCAGATCTTTCTTGTTACAGGTCCATAAACCACAACATATAGAAGCAGAATCAGGCCATTCGACTCATCAAGTCTGCTCTGCCATTTGATCAAAGCTAATATGTTTCTTAACCCCATTCTCCTGCCTTCTCCCTGTAACCTTTGATCCCCTTACTGATCAAGAACTTCCGTTTCTGTCTTAAAAATACTCAGTTACTTGCCTCCACAGCTTTTTGTGGCAATGAGTTCCACAAATTCACCAGTTTCTGGCTGAAAAAAAATCATTCTTATATCATCCCAGCATTTCTAGCCACAGGGAGCTGTGGGGGCAGAGTTCATATATAAGGCTAACAGAGATAGATTCTTGATCAGGAGGAGAATCAAGGGTTACAGGCAAGAGCAGGAAAGGAGGCATGAAGATTGTTGGATCAGCCATGATCTTAATAAATGGTGAAGCAGATTTGACGGGTCAAATGGCCTACTCTAGATCCTATTTCTTCTGGTCTCTGGGTGGATTTGTTTGCAGTGAAATGTTACCAAGTATTTTGATGCTTGATTTGCAGTGCCAAAATTCAGGTCCAAACCTGGGTCCTTGCATTTACTCTTCAAATAACATGACCCAATGGAGTCTACGTATACATTTAGAGTTAGGCTGCTAGAAGCAACAGTTGTTCAGATAAAACTGGCTAGCATTGTTTTTCCTGATTCCTTCAGATTTTATTTACCAGGGAGGCAGTAGCCTATTATAGCTGGACTTCTAATCTAGAGACTCAGGTAAAGTTCTGGGGACCAGTGTTCAAATCCCCAATAGCAGATGGTGGAATTTGAATTCAACAAAGGCAATCTGGAATTAAGACTCTATTGGTGACCATGAGACCAATGACAACTGTCAGAAGGAATCCATCGGGTTCACTAACATCCTTTCGGGAAGGAAAATGCTATCCTTTTCTGATCTGGCCTAAACGTGACTATAGACCTGCAGCATTGACTCTTAACTATCCTCTGGGCAATAAATAATTGCCTAGCCAGCGATGTTCACATTCTATCAATGAATCACTGAAAAGGTTTGCAACTGATTGGATTATTTAGAGCAGATGAGCTTGAAGAACCCCTAGATATGTCACGGTAGATGTTAGATGCATTACTCAATTCACCAAAGCATTCACGACACAGGAATTGTATCTTCTGGTGACGTAAATAATAGAATTGAAAAATTACAATAGAGATGGAGAAACAATTCAGGTACTTACACATTACCAATTTAACATACAATGTAAACAAGTTGCTGGAAACTAATCAGTGACACAGCAATTAAATACTTGGACAAATGTCAGTGAATGGTAGATCAAAGTCTGATTGACTGTTTTTAGTGATGTTAAGAGCACGGTGGATTAGGAGATACGATGATGCAAACAGATCAATAAGAAATGACAGAACAGAATCAGAAATAGCTACGTGTTCAGTGTCAGCAACTAGCTGAGAGATAGAAGACAGAGATCAAGGAAATCAGCTCTGTAGCACCACTGATATCAGCAAGTTGGAACGTGGAGGCCATGAATTCACCTATGAGAAACCTAGGCCATGCGTGCCCGCTCAACAAACTTGCTTGTGACTCATCAAAAAATGAATTCTACTGAAAAAAAGTACAACACAAGTACTATTTAAAAGTCCAGACACCTAACATAAAAGTAACCTAGATGACAATTTCCATACAGATTTTCTTGAAGTACAGTCCAGTATTTTTGGAGATGTGGGTGCTGAGTTATCTAACAGGGCAGCAAGTGTTGCTGTATCTTCACAAGGGAGGTGGACAATTTTGTGATCTGTTTCCACAAGGGTGCAACAGGGAGGTTTTGGAGGAGGTGGGGGGGGTGGTGAAGAGAGAGGGAGAGAGGAATCTACAGTGCAGTACTTTTGGGTGTGAAGAGGGGATGGAAATAATCGTATATTGGTTATAGCACAAGTGACCATTCAGGCCATCATCTTTGCAGCAGCAACCGAGACCCATTTCCCCGCCTTTATCTCCAAATATTTCCCCTTCAGGTAATGATCCAATTCATTTTAAAGTCATATTTGAATCTGACTATATAATAATTTCAGATCCCAATGAATTGATCGCAAATTGTTTCTTCTGCTGTTATCACTCCCCTTAAATCAGTGTCCTCTGGTTATCGATCCGTCACCAACGAGAAGCGTTTTTGTCCAGAAACCTCAGCTTCATTAATCTACCTGCCAATACACCAGTAACAGCCCAGTCAATGTTTTGTACATGCTTAACATCCTTGCTGCAAGTATGAAAGCTCTGTACAATGCCAACAATCAAACTGGAGCTCGATTCATCCATACTCCTTGTTAGTGACAGGAGACTGTCTAGAATGTAAGTCAATGCATCCAGCAGCTTGGTAAACGTTATCAATTTTCTCCTGCTAACCACCTCATTGAGGTCCTCTGTGATTGTGCGTTGGCTCTATCTATTCTTTCCTCAGGCCTGGCAGCAGCTCACACAGGCTTAGTGACTCAAACTGCTTTGATCCTAACTCCTCACTAGCCCCTAAAATGCATTCAATGCTGATATCTGAGCAGGTAGCTTCCAGTGTCAGATCAAGTGATGAGGCCTTTTATCAGCATTGTGGCATTACTATTTCTCTTCCTGCTGGGCAGGTGGTAGTTCCTGGATTTCTGAAAACAGAAAATCAAAGAAAAGGGCTGAGTGGAAAACAACAGATCCATGGTCACTCAATAACTACTTATACATCATGCCAGATTTGAACTGGGAGCTCAGAAATAAATGAATATACTGTCATCTTAATATCCATTTGTAGCACAGTCAAGACACAAAGGACACAGATTTAAGGTAATTAGCAAAAGAAACTGAAGTTGCATGAGGAAATCATTGTTTGAAAACTGAATTCGTGATTAAAATTGGAATGCACTACCTGAAAAAGGGAGGTGAACTAGATTCAATTGTGTTGTTCAAAAGAATGTTGTTTAGCACCTGAAGGCAAAGGAATTGCAGGGACGTAGAACACTGTACTAGTTAAGTGAGGCTAGGTAAATTTTTATTCCAGAGAACCAGCTAGGACTCTTTTGATTCTATAATTCTACATGAAAAATTAATAAAAGGTTTCGCTGAATAACTTGCAAAGAAAACAGGGAAGAATAACCATGCTATCCACATGCTCCCTCTGGTTAGCAAAATTCAAGCCACAGTACAAAATAACTTTACACCATAATTTTTACTACTCCCTTTAACCAATCACTTAATAAGCAGTTAACTTCGCCTTGGACCAATATATAAAAACTAATAAACGTGGATAGCAAAGGCTAGAAAGGCGGCATGGTGGTTTGCACTGCTGTCTCACAGCGCCAGGGACCCGGGTTTGATTCCAGCCTCGGGCGACTGTGTAGAGTTTGCACATTCTCCCCGTCTGCATGGGTTTCCTCCCACAATCCAAAGAGGTGCAGGTTAGGTGGACTGGCTATGCTAAATTGCCCATAGCGTCTAGGATGGGAAATGCAGGGATAGGGTAGGGGGTGGGTCTAGGTGGAATGCTCTTCGAAAGGTCAGTGTAGGCCAAATGGCCTGCTTCCACACTGTAAGGGATTCTACGAACACTAAACATAGTATGGCAAAAGCTCATTCCAAATACTTTAAATCATATTTTCTAAGGTTTTGGAGTAGATTTGTAGCTTGGGTTGTGGATGTTGAGGTTGGTTGGCTCGCCGAGAACATCAACGAACCAGCTCAGCAAGCCAACCAACCTCAATCATATTTATATGTCACATTCATTACAATGTAATGAAACAAAATGTTACTTACTTCTAAGATCCTGATTAATACAAGAAATCGTGCATAGGCTAATAGCTTGCAACATCCCTATTTTCAGGACTTGTAATTCCCTGCAGTTTTCTGAAAGTATTTTTCAGCTTCATATCAATTGCTGGTTCTTGACTATGTTCTATCAGGCTTAAATGTTTATACATTACCAACTTTAGTTAAAACTCTTTAAATCTATTTTGTATGTATGGAAAACCTAAACAGAGAGCTAATCCTAGCAACTAAATAAGTTATTTAAATTTAACCCACTTTGTAAACAGAAAATCTATCAACAAAAGGAATGGTTAATAGAGAATAAATTGTTGTGGTACATCTGGCATGAATCAAACATGTTCTCAGTAGTGAAGTCTTCTCTACTCAATAGCTTACTTCGTACAAATTGTCAACATGAATCTGCTATAAATTGTTATCTATCAATTCTCTCAGAGGAATGTCTCATGATCAACTACACGTCTTTCTAATGTCCTTTAATGCCTCCCATCTTCCTGCTCTTATATCTGTACATTTCATGCTTGAACACTTCCAGTCTACTTTCTTCACTTTCACATCCAGCAAACAGCCTTTTTTCAAAATCCTCTCTGGTGTCATCTATGATGATGACCAGTAATACTTTCTTTCCTTGTCCACTTTTGTGACATCCTCCTTCAATGAACTGTGGCATCTAAGAAATAACTTGCATTGATTTGACATTTTGTCAGAGCCTCGGGACATCCGAATGCTCTTCACACCCACTGAAGAACACTTGATGTGTTATCACTTAGATAAATTAGAGGAAAGCTGTAGCCAAGTTGATTTCAGCAAAGTCCCATACAGTGTGAAAAAAAAAATCACAATCTGTTCTCCTCATATTTGTCAAATTGATACAAAAAAAGTCCATGAAATTGCGAAAACTCGAATTCTTGTTTCTCAGAAAGCTTTAGTATAATGTTCGTCTAAAAGGCGTCATCTCCAGCCTCATCATTATGCTTGTAAGGCACAACAATTTCCAGTAGATGTCAGTGTCTAGCAATGGGAACACTGCACAATGTTCTCGCTTTGCCTGCAGGACAAACTAACAACTATTTTTCTATTTGGAATGGGAATTTACTAATTTAGCAGAATTAGTTGCTGACCCCTATCAAGGAGGTATATTTACTCAATTTAATTGCCTATAATTTTGTTCTTAAAAGTTAGTTTGAAGATTGATATGCGAGATCAATCTAATTTCATTTTTAGTTTCTTTTCCTACAATACTAAATAAAGCTTGGTATCCATAGCAATTTCTCAATTCATTCCAATATCTGCTCAGAAATACTTTTTATACCAGTTCAAGTTTCAAAATAAGCCATTTCAAAATCCATGTTGCATTAGCTTTTCTGTGCATACAGTTGCTGCCCTTGAGTTTCTTTGCACCAGTCCTGAGCAGCATAGAGCTTCAAAACAGGTGTCAAAAACATTGAATATAAGTTCACTTGAGATAATGTTGGCACAGGGGGAATTTTTTTTCCATTTTGTTTCAACTCCAGTTATGGAATCTTATGTACCTACAGCACACAAACATTCAGAGATACATTTCCTGTTATTTTTAAAAGATCAGAAAAATAGACATATCTAAACAAACAGAGGCAAAAAAAAATTTGAAATGCTCTACGCTGCCAAGGGAAAAGTATTTTTTTATCGCAACATCTATACACCTAAATTGTCAATAATAACACAAGCACAAAATAGAATCAGCACGTTTACAAAAGGTACTTTATTACCCAGATTAAACACATGGCTATTTATGAACAGTCAGTTGCACACAGTTCACATATAAGTTGATAACTTCTGAGTTTTGAATTCAGCCTATTGAGTGATATGAAAGATTGTACTTGACTAGCATAATTTTCTGTACAATAAACCCATCTCAGAAAGTCATGATGTGTGAAAATACACATTTGTTTACTTTGGCAGGAAAAATAGAAAATCTTAATACTATTCACATGGAGAGTTTGCAGGACTTGGTGGTACAGAGGGATTTCCAGAAAACCAATCATGATAAAAATTAGTATACAGGTATATAGCAAGTGTTCAAAGGCAATAAGAACGTCGGTGCCAATCGAAAGAAGAACCGAATATAGAAATAGGGAAATTTTTTTTACAGTTGTGCAGGGCCTTCAGACCACATCTGCAGTACTGCATACATTTCTGGTTTTCTTCTTTGAAAAGGGTTATAATCGCTTTCATAGTGGTTCTGAAAAGGTTCATTCAACATATTTGAGACGAAGGACCTTTCCTAGGAAGAAAACTTGAACAGACTGGGGTTAAATTCACTTCTAGTTTAAAGGAATGAGAGGTGAACTTATTGAATCATTTACAATCCTGAGGGGAGTCTATCGGGAAGATAGAGAGGATAATCCCTCTTCCAGGGGGAGGCTAGAATCAGAGGACACAGTTTAAGAACAGGAGATCCCCTTTAAGACAGTGACGAGTAAGGAACATTTTCTCTAAGAAGTTTGTTAGTCTATGGAAGACTCCTCCCTAAAAGTAGTAGCAGCTTGGTCACGGAATTTATTCAAAGCTGAGTTAGATGGATTTATGATAGACAAGGAAGTCAAGGGTTTTAGGAACAGACAGGAAACTGGAATTGTAACCACATGAAAACCAGCCACGATTTCGTAAAATGGTGAAGGCGGCCCAAACGGCCAAATAGCCTCTGAATAAAAGGAAAATTGCAAATTGACTCAGCAAAAATCACTGGTGCACATCTTAGTGTTTGGTCATAATCACAAAGGAGCAAAACAAGAATCCTTGAAGAAGCTTGTTTACTCAATGTCACCAATAGGAAAGGGCATGGCTGGACGAGATCTCAGAAGAGACCAATACAGCCTACGAAGCACTAAAATAACCAAAACAGAAATTATACTTGTTTCCTGCTCATCAAAAGCAATCGGTAAATCATTTTGATTAACAGGAACCACCAACGCGTTTCCAACCACACATAAGCAAAAAGCTATTCAATTTTAATAATTTAAAGCTATCATTCACAAAGAAACAAGCTTTTGTTGTCTATATATAATAGACCTGACAATTAAAAGTGTTGCTGGGGTTTATAATTTATAACCATTTTTAAAAACTTATGAAAGTGTTTATTTCAGGTTTTATCTGTTGATTGCAATGTACTTTAAGCAAAAGTGCTTGAAAAAATTCAATGAGGTTAATTTTATCTTTCTATAAACAGGTCATGAAACAAAAGGACAATATTCACAAAGGTCTTCTGAAGAAAATGAACAGAATGGTCATTCCAATTCTGGTACTAAGTAACAAGTCATTTTATTTGTTCTTTCGTAATACAGGCACACTTCAAATTTAGCAATGGGACAAAGACATTTTCTTTGTAATAGTAGTGAATTTGTGCATAATAAATGCAGAATTAAGGGCCATGCACTGTTAACATAAATGCTGAGCATTCAAAACTCAAGGCAAACTGTGAAACTGGACTGAGTTAACCCAGATTGTGAAAAACTAAATGGGTCATTATATTGAGTTCGGAACAGGAGACTACCATCCTTTATCAGTCTGGCATACAGGTGTATCCAGTTGTTATATTACATGGTTGACTTTTAAGTTTCAGTGAAGTGGTCAAGCACGTCAGCCACTCAGTTATAAATGAGTATTTGCTACAGAAATTAGCAATAATATTGGATGGACAGATGAACACCAGCCTTGTCACCATAATAAAGAACTGTAGGTGCTGGGAATCTGAAACAAAAACAAACTCAGGTCTGGCAGCATCTGTGGAGAGAAAGCAGACTTAATGCTAACTCAGTTTTCTCTGCACAGATGCTGCCAGATCTGCTGTGTTTCGCCAGCAATGTCTACCTTGTCACCACAACAGAGAGTGCAGCAATCTCACAGCAGTCAGCCTGGAAAAAGTCTGAGAGCTGGTAACCCGGTTGGGAGACTAGCACACCAGGGTTACAAAAACTAATTCAATGCCTAGTTTAAATCTATTAATTGGAGTAGATAGACAATAGTTACAAGTATATTTAAAATTTCCAAGTGTAAAAATTCATGATAAATTATGCTTCATCAGCAATTTTATGTTTTAATTTAAGGATCTTACTTTTAAGTAGTGCACATTAACAAATACCAAAACTGAAAAGCGAATACATCATTTATTTTGTGTACTTCCCAAACAGGTCAACAGGAGAAGGGACAATACCCAAGAAGATCATCTTCTGAAGAAAATCAACAGAATGGTCAATCTAATTCTGGCAGTGAGCAAAAAATCCTTTTATTTCTGTAGAATAAAGCTGTTCCTTACTGGCTCTTGCAAATTACAAGTTCATCAATGGTGTGAAGAAGTTTTCACTTAATTGCATGGAATAAACATGGAGTTGTGCTAATCAAAGTGTTGACTTCAAATCCTCTTTGGAAGAGTTGCTCTTCAGAAATGCATATTGAAAATAATTCAATGTCTAGCTTAAAATCTATTAATTAGAATAGACAGACAACAGTTACAACATGTATTTAAAATTCCCTTCTGTAAAATCCACAATAGAGACAATTAGTTCCGGGTGAAAGTTTTATTTTCAATTAGAATTATTACTTTTATCATGCAATATTAATAAATGATCAAACTAAAAAAAGGATTCATCATGTTTGATTTTATTGTATATTCAAAATAGGCCAACAGATCAAGGGACAGTATTCAAGGAGATCATCTTCTGAAGAAAATCAACAGAATAGCGATGCCAATTCTACCAGTAAGCTGTGTACTTTTATGCACGAGGCAAATTTATCCTTGTGTTGCATGAAACAAACATGTCAATCAAAATTAATTGACATACCATTTCTGTTATTGACTAACCTCAGGTGATATCATAGAAAACAGGGGCAAAAGTAGGCCCCATGACCTTTCAAGCTTGCGCTGCAATTCATTATGATCAGAGTTGATCCAACTCAGTACGCTGGTCCTGATTTATCTCCACATCTTTTGATCCCTTTAGCCCTGAGAACTATGTCTAATTACTTCTTGAAAAATTCAAAGGTGGAGATTTTAAAACTGCACTCATAACTTCCTTCTATAAAAATTGCGATCAGACAGAAAAAGGTATTGAAAAGTAATACTTAGAATGTGAATGATAAAATGTCAAGTGAAAAACAACAGTTGTGTTTTATTTTTACTAAAACAGGTGATGAAAGTAATGGCCACGATTTAGAAGACATTGTGGAGAACAATAACTCAGATTTTTCTTCCTCTTCTTCCTCCTCCTCCTCCTCTTCTTCAGGTGAGCTGTATGTAATTATCATATGCAGAACAGCAGAGTTTGAAAATACTATCAAGACCATATGAACATGAAAATCTATTTTTAATGCCCTTTCTCTACATATTAACTTGGAATACAGGTCTGATCAGCTATTTCATTTTGGAAACTTGTCAAGATTCGGCTGGTCATTTTGGCAAAAGAATCAATATTCAACCACTTTATATTTCAGTTGTGTTTTGAGCATGGTGTTCAACCATTCAGGAACCACATTTTCTTGCAAACATTGAAAAAGATCAGAGATATGGAAGTAAGACAATTAATACTTCAAAGTAAAATAAATGCAAACAGTCAAAACTAACAGTCTAACTGAAGTTATGAAGCTGCATTAAAAAATTAAAAGAAATTAAGCAAAAAGACAAATATTTTTTGCCAAACATTTTATTTGTATAACATAGGTTTAATGTTTAAAACAATATACAGTAAACAGGCAGGTGCAGTGGGCTGCGAAGAAAAGTTTTTTCAAGAGCAGACACAGAAGGAATCAGACCTGTAAGTGAGTAGTCAAATAAGTCACAGCAAAGTGGTCAGAGTGGCGTTATTTGTGATTGAGATCTGCCTTCATAGTCTCCTGATTTAGAATAATGAATTTCATTTCACATGGATCTCTCTGTACTCAGTGGAAATTTTTACAGATTTTAAAATATTCAGCTAACTACGGAGTTTTTACCACTATTCTCTCCCCATAAAATTCTAATACAAAATAATCATAATGAGACTAAAAGACCCATCTCACTTCTGGCATAGACCAGCTATGGTCATAAATGTGTCAGAACTGAAATATAGTGTATCACCGCCTTATAATGGTTGAGTGTAAAGGTCAGAGTTTCTACCAGACCAGAACAAGACAACTGAGAAATACCTTATTAAAGCTGCAAGATTCCCTATTTCCAGATGCTGAAAGGCCAGCTGATTCAATTGCCTAAGTATGCTCAATGGCATATATCTTTACTGCTTGGGTTCCATGCCTACATCAAGACTTGGACTGTCCTTGGAAAATACACACCTATATAAAAACATATATATTTGTTTCCTTACAAAAGAGGCTATAAGGACATTTAGTTTTCTTTTCCAGGGATGCAAGCACCTCACCTCTTTCCTGCTCACCCGTAATTCCTGCACCCCCCACAACTTCCTAGCGGTGACTGGCCAAATTTCCTGACTCTGACTAGATTTAAATGCCTCAGGTGTACCCCAATTCTGTGAAGACAGGAAAACCACTCCCAACCAAGCCATTAATGTCCACCAGGGTTACTGGCAGAGGAATTCAATTCTTTCCTTCCTAAAATTAGATCTGTCTTAATATAATCAGATCCTATTACTTGTATTCTAACGATAATACATCAACAGATACTCCTGAGCTTTAAAATGATACGTGAAATAATATTTCACCAGCCTTTCTTATCAGAAAGGGAACAGAAGAGCACTTCTTTCCTCGTGACAATGGCTTTGGTCTCCTGAGGTATTTTGTATAGCATAGACAGACAAGTACAAACAAAAAAAACAATAGAATTCAATTCTTGTTGGAATACAACGTATAGTGCACACTAATTGCATTCTAACACAACAACCTGAATGGCATTTATTTATTTTTAACAGAAGAACAGTATGGAGAGCCAGGTCCACCAGGTCCACCTGGATTACCAGGACCAATTGGTCCACCAGGATACCCAGGAAAGCCAGGGTTTGGGCTGCCAGGTCATCCTGGTAAGCCTGGACCACCCGGACCACAAGGACTATCAGCTATTGGAAAACCAGGCGGCCCAGGAGAACCAGGAAAGCCAGGTGTGCCAGGATCTCCTGGCCGAAAAGGGGATAAGGGATCTCAGGGGATGCAAGGACCAAGAGGACCTCCGGGACCTAGTGGACCACCCGGACCAGCTGGGTTATCTGTTATTGGGAAACCAGGACCTAAAGGATCACCAGGTCCTCCAGGAACACTTGGATTTCCTGGAAGAAAAGGGGATCCAGGATACCCTGGTTTACCAGGACCAAAAGGAGATAAAGGGGTTGGAAGTCCAGGACGTCCTGGTGATAAAGGTGCTCCAGGACCACGTGGTCCACAAGGACCACCTGGTCCAGAAGGTAAAGGACTCAAAGGACCCCCAGGTCACAAAGGTGAACCAGGACACAAAGGTGAAAAGGGATCACCAGGGTCCCCTGGACATCCAGGTAAACCAGGCCAAGATGGTCCACCAGGACCACCTGGTAAAGATGGAATTGGGAGGCCTGGAATACAGGGACCACGAGGAGTTCCTGGGATGAAGGGTCACCCTGGTCTGCAAGGTTTGCCAGGTTCACCTGGGTTGCCAGGTGTCGGAAAGCCAGGCCTTCCAGGACTCAAAGGACACCCAGGTTCTCCTGGTTTGACGGGAAAGCCTGGAGATAAAGGATCATCTGGAGAACCTGGACCTCGTGGCCCTGTAGGACCACTTGGGTCACCAGGACCAAAAGGCCCAAAAGGCCCACCAGGTAATGTTGGTGCACCAGGAGAGAAAGGTCATCCAGGACTAAGGGGTCCAGAAGGGCCTTCTGGCCCAAAAGGTGAGCCAGGATCAAAAGGTGAGCAAGGAAAACCCGGGCCTCCAGGAAAGTCAGGTGCAGAGGGTAAAAAAGGAGCACCAGGTCCATCTGGTGAAAAAGGCGATAAAGGGCCTGTTGGGCCACGTGGCAAAGCAGGGAGTCCAGGTCCTCAAGGTCCTCAAGGGCCACAAGGGCCTCCAGGTAAACCTGGAGAGAAAGGACATCCTGGATTACCTGGTTCAGTGGGTCTAACCGGGAGTCCAGGTTCTCCAGGACACCCAGGAGTGAAAGGAGATCCTGGGGTCCCAGGACCACCGGGTCCTCAGAGTAAATTTAATGCAAAAATTATAAAGGGGCCAAGCGGTCCACCTGGACCAAAAGGAGCAATTGGTCCACCAGGCATTCCAGGAGCCCCTGGTCCAGCAGGTCCACCGGGAGAAATTATTATACCAAAAGGAAAATATGCAGGTTATAGTGGTTACATCGATTCAGGTGGCATGGTGAGTCCTGTTCCAGCATTTACAGCCATTCTTTCTCAGCCATATCCTCACAAAGGGCAACCAATAGTGTTTGACAAGATACTGACCAATTCAAATAACAACTATGATTCATCAAAGGGAATTTTCACATGTGAAATATCTGGTATCTACCAATTTTTTTATCATGTACATGTTAAGGAAGCAAATGTTTGGGTGGCATTATATAAAAATGATGAACCTGTAATGTACACGTATGATGAATATACACCACAATACGTTGACCATGCATCAGGAACAGCTATCTTACATTTGGATGAAAATGACAAAGTGTATGTACAATTACCTGCAGAAAAGTCTAATGGTGTGTATTCTTCTGAATATATATATTCATCATTTTCTGGGTTGTTAATAACACCATCATGATGTATGCCAATTTAAAAAGGCAGAGTTGAGAGTTTAAATCTGACCAAGTCAGTTGAGATTATAAGGAAATTTATGAAAAATGGCATAAATATCCAACAAATGTCAGTGCTAAAAAAATAGAAATTTAACAATACTATGTTGATCAAAAAAAATCATAATTGCTGAAGGCAAGATTATTTAATCTCATTGCATTTGTGCAGATCGAACAAATAGTTTCTGATATACTTCTAAAAAAGTCAGTTTTTATATGCATTCTTATATGCAGTCACTGTAAATTTTTGTTTTTAAAGAGTATCTAACGATATCACAGATCATTTTATAATGTCCTCCCACACAATGTTTTTGCCTCAGGGTACTCGCTTTGTTAGCATTCCTGCAAACAATATATGTTAACGTTAAAAGTATGTTACTCGCCACAGGAAATGGCAGTTTTGGTCTGCATTTACATTACAATTGCAGCATCAGTGAAAAGCAGTTTTGAAGTCATAGTGGACATCTGGAAGTCTCATATTAACTTCACTCCAAAATTAGGACAAACCTAAGATTCTCATTACAACTTTAGAGTTGGCATGATGCAAAACTGTTTTGCACAAATGCTAGTTACAATGTAACTACAGCCTCAAGTGTAATCTTAAACTGTACTCATTGTCTTCCAACTAAAATCAGTCTACAATATCTATTTTAATTTACTACTTGAGGTTTTAGGATGTAAAGGCTCAGAATATGTTGTATAATTTCCATATTTTAGTTAACACTATTAGTTCTTCAACAGCAATAAATATTAATGATTCCATTGTTCTGTTTATAACATGCCTTTTCTTCAAAGCCAAAATAAACATCAAATGTAAACAGTGATTTTTCTTAATGACTATACTGGAAATAAGAATTTTATTAAAATTTCAAGTCATCTTACTAATAGGAGATTTTGTGTATAAGTAAATGATATCATATAACTTTGTTTATATGTAATATTACTCCTGTTCATGCAAGCATCTATGTTACGCATTAATTTTATAATACTGAGCATGTTTGTGTTTGATTTTAGAACAGAATGAACATGTTAGATGTTATACCAGCTACACAATATTGAACTGCTGGAATATAACAAGAGCAATATATTAAGAACTGCAGATGCTGGAAATCTGAAAAAAAAAGCAGAAATTGATGGAGAAACTCAGCACGTCTAGCAGCATCTGGAGACAGAAAACAGATTTAATGTTTCAAATCCAGTGACCCTTCATCAGAGCTGTTCTGATGAAGGGTCACCGGACTTGAACTGTTAATGCTGCATTTCCTCCAGAGATGCTGTCAGATTCTGCTGAGTTTCTCCAAATATTTCTGCATTTCAAGCGCTGGAATATGTTCTCACCCAATGATAGCTTGTTGACTGTGCAAGCTGAAAGTCTACTAAATCTTCAGCGAGATGTTGATCGAGCAGAACACAATGCCACCCATTAACCTGCTCATCATACTAATTTGCCAAACAACTGGTCTTCCTAAAGCTCAAAGATGTTGTCATTTAAATTTGCACCACATACACACAGGTGAAACATTTTCATAATTTCTAAGTGGAGTCCTTTTTTATCTTTAAATGTAGAAAATTTGCAACACTTGCAACCTAATTATCACATTTATCATATATAAGCATATAATTATTCAGTGTCCCAGTTTGGGGCAGAATCACCTGTGCATCTAAAAGAATCTGTACTTCTGCAGTCACATGAAATCCCCTTCTGTCTATCTGCAATATCCACATTTTAAACCATCTTTGCCCAGAACAATTAATGGAATTTAAAGAAGTATTCAAAACTGTGCAGTAAAATAACTAGACTGAAAGCCACAAAGTGTAAAATGCTTATGTTACTATTGTAAAGAGAACAGAGAGTAGGCCAGGAGGGAATAGTGTAAAAAAAGCTATGATGCACCATACATCATATTTCCCATCTGTTGTTCGACTTTCACATAATATTATTTATAACAAAGTTGCAATACAAAAACACTTGCTGGGGTTATAAAGCCCTACATCTTTGGCCAGTCTGAAATAATCATCGAAGTTGTGAAGTCAAGCTGATGATTTTAGAAGACACAACAGAACATATTATCCGCTTGTAATATGATTGATAAATGTTACTCAGAGTTCCTTCTGCAAATGTATGATTACTGAGGGAGTCAAATGTCTTCTTTTGAGTCAAATAAAGTATTTTATCAGATATTGTTAAATGATTGACTTCTAGTAAATCTTTTGCCCCTGTGGAAACTATTAGGGCTTTGCGTGAACTTGAAATAAACAATGCCCGATGAAAAAAGAAGCTGATAGCAAAAACTTTCCCAGTGACAGTTTGAAATAAGTGAAATACAAATTTTGGCAAAGGTGACGTAGGTGAAGAGGTTAATTTCCATCCGCAATATGGAAGTCCGCAACCAATCTGTGAAATTCAGTCTAATGTGAAGACTTAGAAGGTTAGACAATTAAGCTCATGGGAATTCACTGATTTCAAAAGTCCACAAACAAATTCAATCTATATTTGAATAATCTGAGAAGAAAAATGTTCATTGTGCTTTTAAATTGTCCCAATCAAAATGAACGGATCACCATCTGACAAACTAACAATAATGACTGCAGTAACCACTTTCCTTTAGGTTTGATCCAGAGGTCAGAAGTTTTGGGATATGCATACATACTTAAACTTCATGTCAAAACTATTCTTGTATGGCACAGAAAGCAGAATCCCTTTCCTCACGGAAGCCTCATCCCAACCTTACAGAATCTTTCTTTGCCTGGTCGAGGCCTGACTCCATTTCCAGCCACGTGGATGACTTAGTGCATTTGGACTTTCAGGAATTGGCCACGCATGCTGATTAGCAAGTACAGCTTGTAACCAAGGAACAAATAAAAATTATTTTCAAACTGGGCGACTAGGAGGTGAGGGCATCTCACAGCTATCAAACACCTCAGCTCATATTTTCCTTTAGAAACATTTTTTTTTCCCATCAACTCAGAATATCTTGTCACCCAAGCCAACGAACACATTACTGCAATTTCATTACAAATCAGAGATCGTCTTGTCTGTATAATATTTCAAGATGCAAATCTCCACTATTGAAATTCCAGTCATTTCAGCATAACTGATGTATTGACATTGGAAACAGTTAAAGTTACATCAGATCAGTATTTGAAAAAGAAAATCATCTTGATTTGGAAGCAAAATGGGAACACAGGATTAGTTTACTTCTCATGTGGACAATAAACACAAAAATGAACGGAATGGGCTAAACAGCCTGTTTCCACCTTGAAATTTCTATGCAAACTTTATACAAATCAAGAGGAATTTATTTAGAAAAATACACACCAAAAGTGAAAAATTCATTGCAACAAACTATATCTGCCTTCCATACTATATATACATTACATGCATTATTCAGATGTATAACTGGAAGAATTCCAATACCCAGTTTCTTTTTAAAACAATGCACAAAAAGAAAGATTAAATGTGTACAAATAGGTTACATTCTCACATTCCAATCACTTAATCTAAACTATCAACATCCTTTCTCCCTTACCACTCCAACCCACCCGCTCTGCCCACTATTGCATAAATTCTGTCCCCTCCATACTTCACTTCAGCTCTGATGACGCGTTATTTATACTCGAAATGTTAACTTGATTTCTCTCCATGGATGCTCCCTGATTGGCTGTGATCTCCAGCATTTTTTGTTTCCAGTACAGATTCCAGCATCTGCAGTAATTTGCTCCTCCATCAAATAGGTAGACTTGAATTTCTAAATTCCTGCAGATATAATTATTCCATCTCATATTTTCAAAATAATTGAATATGTGTGTGTGTATGGCCCTCCAAAATATAATGATCTCTGGCATACAGTGCTGCTAATAAAACAGTGAGCTTGACACTAAATGCACCTTTTCAAAGCAGAACAGAAAAATTTGGGTCAAGTGTAAGATGAGGAATCCTACATACTGTGAATAAGATATCCATATATAGTTGTCTGACCCAGAGATTTCAGATATTTAACAGTAAAATACATTGCAATTAAATAAAAATTTGCACTGGTATCTGATGTACTTTTCTCACTACAATATCAATCACAACCAACACCTTGTTCTTCTCAATGCATGAATTGCCAACCCATTTGAAGCAGTCCTTTAAACTTAATTGATCAATAATCACAAAATACTGGTCAAGAGAGCATTACGTTACCTGGTATTAGGGATTTGAGTATTAAAATTGAAGACGCTTCCACAAAAGCAAAGCCTCGCCCTCTCCTACAACAGCCACCTAATTTTGAAAATAATTTTTATTTGCTCCATGGGTACAAGCGGCACTTGCTAATCAGCATGCGTGGCCAATTCCTGAAAGTCCAAATACACTAAGAGTCGACTACATGGCGGAGAATGGAGTCAGGCATAGGCCAGGGGAAAAAAGATTCTGCAAGGTTGGGATGAGGCCTCCGTGAAGAAAGCGATTCTATTTTTTGTGCCATACAAGAATATTTTTGACACTAAGTTTAGGTATGTATGCATATCACTAATTTCGAACATAATTGCTTTTATTACCGATTTTTTTTATATTTAGAGTTTTGACTGAGTTTTCCATGGTTAACGCTTACCTTCTCATCTTTTAGGTTGTTTTTTTGCTGAAAAATGGATTATATTATCAGGTCTATTGGTTGCCTCCACATCATCGTTCTGGAGAAATCAGGTTTTTTTTCATATACATCCCTACCCTCTCCTTACGCTGCCTTATCATCCTATTCTAATCAATCTCTCCTTTGATAATATTTTTATGAATATTCCGAGTATGGTATAAATACAGAAGGTACTGTAAATTCATAGTTGCTCAGTGAGCATTCACAAACAGAAAAGAGAAGTTTGAACATTTTGGGAGTGCCTTAACTTTTCTCTTCACAAATATTAACCGAGTTCTTGTGCAGTTATATAAATTTTTACTTTCTTTTTCCAGAGTGTTTATTATTATTGTCAGTTTTACTGGCTTTGTACATGTATACATGACACTGATCTGTAGTCTTGACAGGTACAACTATAACTTGCATATGAGAAAGAGCAAGATTTATTCCATTCCTGTTGCAAGGGTTGCTCTGTAGTTCTTTTCTTTCTTAAAAGAAGTGCTTTCTAGACTTGACTGGAGTTGCTTTGATGGTAGTGCTCCTGCCTCTATACAAGCAAACCTGTTGGCTATGTAGAGTTTATACAGTTTAATGCAGGTCAGCCTACAAAATCCATCCAAAACTGCACACATTCTCCAAGGGAGAAGATTGAGTCATCACGCACAGCAACAATACAAGGATTCATTTTCTGACACTAAACCTACTATCATGTATCACTTATTCCTCCTTCCCCCACAATTCTTTATATGCCTAAAAACTGAAGATTTTGTCTATGTCTAATATTAAAAATGTCAGCTACTGGATCATATCAGTCTTCACCCTTAAGTGTTTCACTACAATTCTAATTTGTCAGGTTGATAAGCTAACTATGGATTAATTATTGTTTCTTTGTAGTACAGGCATTGTGCAAAGAATGTGAGCTGAGTTTGATAATAATGGAAGATAAGGAAAAGCAGAGTTTTGTCAAAAAAGCCACTCAGATAATTCCTCTAATACTGTGCTATACTTAGGAATACTATTATTTTGATTTTGATAGATTGTTGTTTCCTGATATTTATTCTAGATTTGCAATTCAGCCATTTCTCTCTTAGTCTTTTTGCATTAATTGAATATTCTTTAAAGTAATAAGATAGCTTCACCTGATCAATACCATTTAAGATTTTATATACTTTTTAAAGGCCGTATAGGCTTCTCATAGCTTTTCTTTTTGCTTTGGAAGAAGTCATCACACTGATAAGACAAATCTTATCAGTTTTGTCACTCTTTTCTCCATCCATTCTAAACAAGTACAGATTTTTCTGACATTTGTCCATGAAGGATAAACATTTTGTCAAGTTTGTTGAGTTTCCACTTTTAGTAGAACACTGGAATTTCTGGGGCACTCCTTTAAGATGTGCAAAAAGCAAAAGGTCACCCTGCACAAGGCAAGATCTCTTTTTACAGTCCCACGAATTAGGCAGCAGCAGGGAATTCCTTTCTCCGATCACGTTTTTCCTTAACAAATTCTTGCTGGATGCTGGAGAAAACATGACGTGGTCACCTCAAACGCCTACTGACCAACAATCATGTAGGGATCCTGAATTTAAAGCAAAGATTTTAAGAAGTATACCTCACTGTCTTTGAGAACTCTCATCCTAGATCTAATCAGTAGCCAGAAGTCAAACTTCTTGCATATCTGACATTAGAATATTTTCAAATACTCCAATGGCATTTCCCTTGTCCCTCGTTAGAATCTTCCTAACAAGTCAACATAATATGGAAAAATACCCCACTAAATATTGGAACTAATTATTTCACAGAATTTCATTTATTCTCTTTAGAAAAAAAAATTTCTCCAGGGCTCCTCCTCAGTCACTACTGAAGAATAAAAGCCAGTATCTTTCCTTCTTATTTATGCCCTAGTTGGTGATCATGATTGGATGAATTTTTTTGTCTCCTCCTCTTTAAAAGGTCCTGAATCCTTGCCAGGATAGGACTCCACAGATCTTCAGCAACTGGCCCAAAAGATCACCCATTCTTTTAAACTAACTCAAACCACTTTTCACCACTCCAATTAGTTAAGCCTTAAGCTTCAAAATTCCCACCCTCAACTTAAGAACCAAGCTTTTGGTTACCTTTGTTAACAATTATTCATTAATTTTCTTCATTATGCGGCTTGTTGAAAACATTTGTTTGATAATGCTCTTTGTAAAGTATCTTCTGACATTTTGCTATCTTACATATGCTATATAACTGCAAGATGCTGTTCTCAATCTCAACAACATAAACATAGGCAAAAATCACAGCCGGAACTAGCAACAGTAGTGGAGCAGCCCTGTTTCAGAAAGTTTTATCAGTCCAAGTTCATAGGGCCAAAATAATTGCTGTGACCTGGCTTCAGCATTCATTCAGATCAAGCAATACAGTCAAGATTCAAAGTAAAACCTCACATCCCCACATATACGCCTACATAGTTTCTTGCACTAAGTTGTGTGATATTATCAGGCTGGGCTGCTTTACATTTCTCCCTTTTATCAGTTTTGCTTAACACATTTTACCAAAGTTATCATATGAATTAATGATGGAAATGTCCGAAATGATGATAGAAACTTCGACACTCTTGTATCTGACAATTACTGAGTTGCTCTTTCAAAGGTCATGAGTGTCAAACATATTTTACAGAACTCCTAGTAATATGTAGGTCAGATCGCCAGACTGACTTCTTCTCTGAAATTAATAGCAGTTAGCCATATCTGCTTGTTGTGCTTATTTTGAATTTCCCTCAATTGCCTTGACTGATTCAGCTCTGTTTGATATTGTAGGCTCATGGTGGTGGTTTGGCTGCTGTCCTAGTGGCTGTGAACTTGGTTTTTGCTTTTGGATTGATCTTCACATGATGACGTCTTCATGGACAATTTTGGCATGAAAGCAGTACACAATATAATTGTATACTACTTGTTGTTTACTTTATGCTTAAAAACTTGAAGTTCAAATCACATAACTTTGGATCGGACTTCTATTAAACTGAAATTGGTAGATTAATAAGCACTGAAATAACATGATGCAATGCAATGCACTGAAAGGATTTTGTCTACTCTTCCTCTCCCAGACACACAATAAAATGAGCACTTATTCAATTCATTCTTCTTTATTTTGAAGCCATGTCAAGATTTAGAATTTGAGGGGAGAAAGGATGGGAATTTGCATCATACAAGACAACATTATGAAATGATTGAATCAGAAAGCATTAATTGTTATGAATACAAAGACAAATAAGATGGAAACATTTTCAGAACACAATAGCAGAAATGCTTAATCGTCGCTCAAAAGATTTCAAATCACGAACTTTGGTCAACCACCCCAAAAAAACAATCATAACTCTCTCCTTGGCTAAATTATCCAGCATTTTGGAGCTATGCTGGATGGTAAAGATAATCTTAGAAATTAGTATCCTTGCTTGTGATATTTAATTCTCATTGACTGCACCGCCAAAATCACTCCTTCCACAACTGAAATATTGCCAATTTCTGGTATTACCTCAATCCCAGTGAGGCAGAGGTTCGGTTTTTTCATATTTTCTAATCAACCTGTTCAGAGATGTTATGACACACCTCTGAAACAGGTGAGTCTTGAACTCGGGTCTGCTGGCTCGGAGGTAGGGAGACTACGAGACCATAACTGTTTGGTTATCTCAGGAATTATTTTCTCCTATGATCTTCACACAGGTCTCCAATAACCCACCTGCAAGTTCTTAATACAACAAAACACTGTTTTAAATCCTCCACTGTCTACGTACTAGAAAGCATCCTCCATGCTTTCTATTCTAGTTAATGTCTCTCTTCCACCACGGTACAGCTTTCAGCAAAAGCAATGCTCTGAAATTCACTGCCCTAACCACATTTTCCTTACCGCTGCTTTTCTCACTTTCAAAAGTTTTCTCAATATTTACTTCAAGTGTACGTTCTGTTACCTTCTTTAATATCTATATCTATCACATTACTTGACATCTTCCATTCCCCTTCAATTTTTTGCAAATGTAACTTTTTGAAAGACTAAACAACAACAGTAAACATTACTTTGGGATAACAACTGTTTTTGTATTAAATTTTCCAACAACGTGTACAAATCTTATTCACTATTGGATTATACTGTACAAGAGCCGATAAGGAAAACTGAATGGCAAGGGTTGAATCAAACAGAGGAAACAATCTGACAACATTTACCTAGGAAGCACTTGCAGAAATGCATAAAAATCAAAGAGATCATCTCTCATTCTTCTAAACTTGATAGTGTTCCAGTCAATCATCTTTCAGAGCAATTCTCTCATCCCAGGAATCAATTTAGTGAGCTTTCATTGCACTCTCTATGGCAAGTACATCCTTTCCTTAGGCACAGAGAACAAAACTGAATATGAGAAATCCATTTGTTTCTCTTTCCCTATGCATATTATGTTGCTCAAATCTGACCACTTCAGTCCCAAAATAACAAACGAGTTATGCTGACTCATAGGTATAAATTGTGCCAAATATCTTGTCAATTGAATATGTCGCCATGTGCACTTTTAATTGATTTTTTTTGTCTGCTCTTTATAATGTCATACTGTAGACGAACTCAAAGTACAACAATCTAAAACAATTTGGGAGATGGGAACATGCAAGTAAAATTGAATAGCATGGCTAGACATGTATAAATAAGAAATTACTGAAAACTTACGTGACGAAAACTGATCTTGAAAAATATGATTAATCCAGCCTTACAGCACACCCTCAATACTGCAATGGAGGATCAACTCTATGGAGTTGGTCTTGAATTTCAAGTCAAGAACAAAATCAGAAGTTGCTGGAAATGCTCAGCAGGTCTGGCAGCATCCGTGAAGAAAAAAAATCAGAATTAACGTTTCAGGTCCAGTGACCCTTCCTCAGAACAGTTCTGAAACATTAACTGATATTTTTCTTCACAGATGCTGCCAGACCTGCTGAGTTTTTCCAGCAACTTCTGTTTTTGTTCCTGATTTACAGATCCGCAGTTCTTACGGTTTGAATCTCAAGTCATCTGACTTAAATACACGAGTGCTACCACTGAGCAAAATCTGACACCCAAGTGAGCTAAGTGATCAGTTAATCTAAGATACTTTCACAAGTTAATACTTAATGTAATTGTGTAGCCTGCTGACTTTATCTTGCGTTTAATGTTAGTTAGCTAAGAGACAAGAGGTTAGGTATGTTTTTGTTAACATTAAAATACAAGTCATGGGATATGAGACAACTTTGTGAAACCTTGAAAGATTCTTCCAAAAATGGGAGTCGGCTTACATGGCTGATGGTCTTGATGTAGGTAGTCACCATTTTGAATTGTGCTAATAAAAATAAAACCAGTAATTCAAATTAAATCAATGTGACACATTTCAGGGCATGAATTAATTCTACGAGGATATCTTTATCCATAAACAAAATATTTAAACAACTTTGAATTTAATATCTTTGACATCCAAAATAAAGGGTTCATCAAATTCATTTTGAGTCATTTTGGTTATGATATCATTAGGATCTTACTAGACTAGAACAAATCATCCACAACAAATCATCTCACTCTCATCCATTAACTTGGAGATTCTAACTTTTCTGAAGGGTCTGACAACAGTTTGCGCATTACGAACATGCAATAATTTGATAACAGAACAAAACAAAACATGGAGGCAACATGCATATTTTCACTCTGTAAAGGTTATTTTTGAACATCTGTCCATATCTATCTATCTCCTTTAGCATGAAGATGATCCTTGAATGGCTTACTGCGGCACACATCCAAAAGTAAACTCTCTGGCATAGCTGTGACGTAGGTGTTGTTTCTTCACAAGCAGCTCTTGATCGCATTTGTCAAATGGCATATGTACATATCCCACATTGATAAGAAACTGTTTTTTTATGTGGGCCAGAGGAATGCCTGTTCCATAAATTATTAATCCATGACTTCAGTCCATTCTCATCAAACCATTGTCATGGACAAGTATAAAATTCTCAGGAAATGTGATTTTTGATATTGCCTTGTGTTAAAAATTATAATAGGCATTTATTTTGTTCTTTTAACCATGCAGGGTAGTACCACTGTGAATCTCACTTTCTCACGTCCTGTGCCTTTCAAATAAATTGCCATCAAACATTTCCACTACACCGTTCAGTTGTTGGACATAATGAAATTCATCAGCATTTTATCCATGTCACCAATGTGACATAATGGAGATTGGTGTCTTTGCACTGTCTGATAATGAATAGCTAGAACTAGCAAAATTGGCAAAGATCTTTTGCATGCGTTTGAGTGATGAGTCTTTAATCAAACTATTTTAGCTCCATAACATGGCTATCCAAACTGCAAGTTGCTCTGAAATCTTCACTGGACTCCGGGTTTGATTTGGTTTATTTTAGCACGTTTCTATGCAGTAAATTTCAGGAGATGTCATCACCATTCTGACGATTTTCAAGTAGACATTCTGATAAATGTTTCTTTAGATCTGACCAGTGGCAGGTTACTAGTATCATGGTGCATTTGGCTTGGACATCCTCTTCAAGACAGATTGTCTCCCACATTTTACCAATACCGAATTCCCTTACTGCAACAGTTACCTGACAAGTTAACAAATCTTATGACTTCTGGCTTGCAACTGCCTTTATAAGGATTTTTTTTTGCTAGAGATGATTGCTGTTTGTCACTTACTGTACCTGGTCTGCTCAGTGTGGGCCTCTCTTGAAAACTCATGCATCTTTTTGACAATACAGCACGTTGCCCGATTGATCGTACATTACCTTATAAATGTGAGCTAAACATGCATTTCTGAAGTGAAAAATAAGACCAACTCCTACTGAAAGTATAGGATTACTTAGCAGATTCGGGGGTCTCAGACTTGTATGCATAGCACAAGCCTAAACATGAATTTTGGTGCTCGAAAAATGGATTCAGCTTATCCACTGGGTCAGTTTATAATTCATAATCTACGACAATTGGTTTTAAAATACACACAATGTGCTCAATTCTCCCCAATTTGGAAACAGTGCAGAAATGATAATATCTCAAGCAGTTCATGCCTGAACTTTAGTAACAGCACAATTTACCAGCATACCTAAATCAGAATTGGCATATAATAGTTATGTAAATACGACAACTCTTCCTTTGTACCTTACACTGAGTACTTTCAAAACACATTACACCAAGGAGAGGGTTGATTGTAAAAAGGAAAAAACTTCCAGTGCAATTAAGCAATTTAAAAACTTAAGATTTATAAAACAAAAATGTCTTTCTGCATTGTAAAGGCTCATTATACAACACAAATAGCAGCATTACAAGAAACAAAAGCCTAGAATTGAAAAACAAAGGAAACGGAAGCTGGCACAACACAGTCATAACATCTCATTACTTTGGTACATGAATATAATCCAACTAGTCGTTTTGAATTAAGCAGATTATATATAATCTCATTACACATCCTGTCATGTTAAAAATCTTGCATACAGAACACATTTCCTGGTCATATTTCAAATGTTCCAAGTTAGTATATCTTCCAACCCACTACAAGCATGCTGCAAGAGATTTGTTAGCATATGTACATGGGCATTTTTTTGAAAAAACGTTCCCGAAAAGCACATCTCAGCTTTGATACGTGATATCTTAGAAACAGCCATTTACGTCTGGAAAAAAAAACAAAAGTCTGCATAAAGGAGAATGGCATTAGAATAGTTAGATGGCTGTTTCCAGCCACCGCAGATTCAACCAGCCAAAGAACCTTTTTCTATGCTGTAGACTTCGAACTCCACAACAATAACCAAAACAGCAGGTAATAAATAAATAAAACGCATTACATGGCAGAGTGTTTTATCGTTAAAAGAAACTAAGAAATAGAAGTCAGTGTGGGTCATATGGACCCTAAAGATAATTCAGTCATTTAACAAGATCATGGCTGTTTGATAGTTTTTTTTAAAGCCAAAAAGAATTAGGTGATTTAAGAAATGGAAAGTAAAGTTGAAGCTATCAATTTCAGTCTGAAATATACTTATCATCCATACATTCAAAACACTCTGGGCTAGGAAACTCCAAAAATTTCTAACTTTTGAGTGAGAAAATTACTCATCTTCATTCCCTTATCCTGAAACTATGCACCCTTGTTCTAGACTTGTTTGTTAAAGACACAATGTCACACACCTGCCCTATCCAGCTCCTGCAGAATCTTAAATGTTTCAATTAGATTACTTCACAATTGTTCTAACTTAGAGACTATAGGGCCATTTCACGCAACCTCTTCTGACAGAATAGCATTCTCAACTTTAGTAACCAATCTAAGTATACCTTAACTGCAAACTCTTGAAAACATGTAGATCCTTCCAGAGGTTCTGATACCAAATCTGTGCAGTACTCTAGTTGTGGTCTCACACAGAATCCTTCGACAAATGAAACAAGACATATTTACTTTTAACAAAGATTCTTTTGGTACATAGGGGAAGCAGTGGCATATGGTGATGCTACTAGTTGTGCTCCACAGTTTCAGGCTAATGCTTTAGAGATGACTGTTTAAATCCCATCACAGCTTGTGATGGAAGCTGAGTTTAATAAAGCCTAGAATAAAAATAAAATGCTCATCTAATGATGTCCATGTACCACCGCTACCGCTCGTAAAATGAATCTGATTCACTAATGTTCTTTAGGAACAGAAATCTGTCATCCCTACCGGGTCAGCCTACATGTAATTGACAAGCTACATCAATATGACTGACTCTTAACATTCTTTTGAAATGCCAAACCACTCAGTTCAAGGACAACTAATGATGGGCAACAAATACCAGCCTTTCCAGCAATGTCCATAGCCCATACAAGAATAAAGAAAATGCTGATGTTTTTCTGAGTACAAGCACCCATAATCTGTGAGAATTTCAAGATTTAATAGTTATTCATCATGTGAATTTCTATTCTTCTGACCAGATGTGAGTCTTTCAATTCTCTGCATTAGGCAAAAAAGTGGCAAATGGAATACATTGACATACCCTGACTAAATCACACTCTACAGAGAGTCTTTATATTCTCCTCACATTTACTTTCCCACCTAGTTTTGTATCATCTTTACACTTGAATTTTTATTATTTAATATTTTAATATTGATTGTTGTTTTATTACTCCTTAGGGCATTCCAGTTCTAACAACTTGCCACCATAAAAAAAATACACTTATTCCGACCCTCTTTTCTGGGCTTTAAACAGTCCTCTATTCATGCTAATAAATTACCACTATCACCACAATATCATAACTTGCGCAATAATCTTTAATGTGGCATCTTGTAAAGTAATTTTTGAAAATCTAAATTTACAACATTCAATGGTACCACATTATCCAATATGGCAGTCACACCTCCAAAATATCTTAACCAATTTGATAAACATAATTTTCCTTTCATAAATCCACATTGAGCAGAGTCAACCAGCTACGGTAAGAGGGACTTCCCTTGACATCAAGGAACCCGAGCAAAACAGAGGTCAACAGAAATCATGGCAAAGCTCTCCCCAGTTAGAGTCACGCATGGTACAAAGTAAGATGACTGCAGTTGTCAATTAGCTCAGTCCCAGGACATCTCTGCCGCTGTTTCTCAGAATAGTACTCTAGGTCCAACCATCTTCAGCTTCTCATCAACACAAGGTCAAAAGTGGGGAAATCCACTGATGATTGCACAATGTTCTATTTGTAACTCCTGAAATACTGAAGTGGGCTGTGTCAATACGCAGCAAGATCTGGACAACACTTAGGTTTGAGAGAGATAATAGGAACTGCAGATGCTGGAGAATCTGCTCCTCTGATGCTGCTTGGCCTGCTGTGTTCATCCAGCTCTACACCTCGTTATCTCTAACACTTAGGTTTGGCCTGATAAGTGGTGAGTGGTATTCATGCCATGCAATGACCGCAGCCACAAGAGAGATTCCAACTACTTCCACTCACTGTTCGACGACATTATCATTTCTGAAATCCTCACGATTAACATCCTAAACATTACCATTGACAAACAAATAAATATTAAGGCTACGAAGTACAGCATGTCAGAGTCTAATAATTCAGCGGCAAGTAAATCACCTCCAGACTCCCCAGAATTTGTCCAACTGCAATGCACTATGCAGGGGTGCACCGGAATACTCCCAGTTTTGCCTGGACTCATGCAGCTCCTACAACAATAAAGAAGCTTGAAACCACCCTGATCAAAGAGCTCATGTGACTGGAACTCCATACAGCCACCAATACAGTTGTGGCAGTGCATGCTGTCTTTAGGACACACTGCATCAACTCACCATGCTCTTCTGGCAGCAGTTTCCAAACCGGCAAATTCTACAC